TAATAATGAACGTCTACATAAGCTTCAGTCGCAACATATCATCTTGTCATGGAACATGAGCACGAAATTACCCTCGCAGTGACCATGCAGCTATTCCGTGTTGTAGTTGTATAATGTATGTGTAGTGTTTTATGGCAGTGTATTTTATTGTTTAACAATGATTGTAACTGTGTTACAATGCTTGTGTTGTGATTCAGTAAACGCTCATTGCATTGTGTTTGGACAGTGATCAGTCGTCGGGAGTGCAGTACTATTAAATGCAAGGAAGTTACTATATTTAGATGCTAGTGTGGCGTGTAAACTTCCGGTACGGTATACCGCGGAAGGTGATAGTATGTTATGGAAACACGTGGAATATTCTTTGTTGTGAGGGCACTCTGTAGAAATTTCCAGGAGCTAGGAAGGTTGTATGTAAGGAGACACGAGTGTGTTTACGCATCTCTCACGTAATTCATCACACCTGAACCAGCTTTCATGTGAGGATCAATCATCATAACTGATTCCCTGCCTAGCCCTTCTCGGAAGCTTCACCACTGCCGCCGCTGGATGAATATATTTTATTATCAATGACCATTGCTATCACCACTGTGTTTTGTATCTAATACTGCCCACTGCGATCATAGTATATATTGCCATTGCATATTGTACTACCACTGTATTGTGTACTGCCATTGAAATTGCTGTGCAGTAATTTGTATTAATTTGCAAGCTAAGTTTGTATTGTATGCCACTTGTTGGTGTTTTGTTGGATTCACCCTAAGTTCTTTTACGTAATGATTCCTGGGTCAATATACTCTTTCAATTTGGGAATCCACACGTAACAGGAGACAGAGGCAAGATATTGAGATCTCAATACCATATCAGGAACAAAATAATAGGTACGATCAACAATCGACTCTAATGTCAATACACAAGTGTTTTAAACCGCATTAGTACGCTGAAATGTAAAAAGGCCTAATATTAAGTGTGATGTTTCTTTGTGTTTTTTATTAGGAGGTTCCCGATAATATGTCATGTTTGAGCCTTCTATATAGGCCACACTAAAATTCAGATCTGCACAAGACAGGAGTTTTATCACCAGTATAAAAAAGAACCACGTGACGCTAAATCTGGCACGAAAATGTAAGCCTTTTAAGGGGACCAGCGCTTGAAATGAGCACTACATGATCTTGATTAAAACATTAATGACGTGTTTTTCTTTCGCGCCGTCGAACTTAGTTTTTCGGATGCAAGTGATGAACGATAGTAACAAGCAAATAAACTGCATTGTGTTGTTACATGACAGACCACACTGCTGGCATGATGGCTTCACGTCAACCTGTCTATATGCAAAGGAAAACTTGTGTCGTAAATAGTCGTGCTGTATGTTGTCGTATGAAGCTTCCATTAAGGTAAAAGTTTTCACGTTGTAAATATGCGATTATAAATTGTTCCCATTTATTAGTTTTAATAACCTGGTCACGGCATTTATTGTGCCATTTATCAGAAAGGTGTAGTGCTACATAACTGTTGTCATATGTATGAGCTGGATGTACGTGACACTGTCTGTAGTTCTGTCATTATAGTGTTAACAAACGACGTTTTTTCTACATTTGTTTAGAAACCCTTCAGCACACGCACACAAACACGTCTCGTGTCATTTTATGATAATAACAATTTTTAAAACGTTTTCTACTTTTTGAAAGCAGTGGCAAAGTCGATACAAAATGAAATTATAATTACACGTTTAATGGCCGCATGTATTTTGTGTAATTGAGTCCTCTCTCTGCAACCTCGTATTGCGCTTGAAATCGATTCCAAGTGACTCAAAATACACATAGTGGTTAGCATGTTGAGCCTAGGGCTTCCGAACTTCATATGGGAGCACTTACTTCACACAGGGCGAATATTACCCCTAGTCGTTTACCAAAGCTGGAGGACATGACGCATTCAGATACATTGTAATCAGTGTCTCACTCGAGGACACTTCGAAGTTAGTAGCACAGCTGTGTAATATATGTTTTCTAATATACTTTTTTTCAATTAGCTCTGTCATGTTAGGACTTGCAAGAACATGTAGACGTCGTACGTCGATTATTCCCTGAGGACGGAAGTACGCTAACACATTTAGCCCAAGGATGACAATCCCTTGTGTAGATATATCATATTGCCATCTAGAATGCCCTTGATGTGACAGCGTTAGTGACACACCCAAGGTGATAAAGGTCAGGGCGTATATTGACAGTAGAATGTATTATACTTCTATTCTACGCGTTAATTGTATAAAGAAGCGTTATTCTCGACACAGTAAATATATTATGACGTTTTAATTTGACCTACCTCGATGCATGGAAATCGTATACATTGTTAGACGAGGCATTGTCAATCAGGCATAGAGATACTTGAATATTATACGTTAACAGGTGTAGGGATATATTCTACGTTCCCAGACATCCCCGCACATTCCCAATCTGATCACAAATACTGCATAAAATCAAGAGTGAAGAGCATACAGGTTCCTGTTGAAAATCAACAATACTGATGTCTCAGTGCGGCAATTGTAAATTGGCACGACTCCCATCATGGCTTTCATTTTTAGATCGCTGACTTTGTGTACTGGCGAGTAGGTGATTCACACTGGCAGTGTGGGTTCGAATCAAGCACGGGAATCTGTACTTTACAAAGAAAGTGCTATCCCAAATATAACATTTGTTACGTTTGACCTAAACTCAATTGTGTTGACGTGCATAGGGACGTATCATAGGTGTCCGAACCTAAACATCTCTTTGATGATTATACTGTTATATAGAGCGGTGTCGGTAATTACCGAACAGTCTAATTTCTTCTGTGTTGTCTTTACATGAAAAATAACTAATGCACGCATCGAACCTTTCATTATGAATCATATTCACATGCAGGGGTGAGTTTCTGAAGTCAGGTACACCTGATATCTTCACTATTTGATAGTGATTCATAAACACGTGCTCATGATATAGTCGGAATCGCAAATCGACTTTGTCTTTGGCCAAGATTTCTTATAAATATGGAAAGGGTTTGTAGCTTTTATTCAGTACAGGTCGATGTTTAACCTGTTAACGTGTTTTTCTCTACAATCCCGGCTACTCCGAACAACACTCAGGAGAGCTTTTGAAATGCTTGTGGTCGCAGTGCCATACCACGTGTTCAGTCGAAAACGAAAGTACCTGAACATTCATAAGCGTGTTACTAAAATTGACAAAATATCGTCCGTTCCAAGAGCGTTTAATACCACATGAATATTTACAGTAACGATCAAACAGGGGGCACGAATGGCCAAGTCGTCTAAGGCGCCGCGATTCGCTGTGCAGAGTTTTGTCCCTTGGGCACGCCAGAAACCTATGATTGTGGGTTCGATATCCGGTTCGCCCCAATTATGTTTCTAGGTTTGTCAGCACCATACCCGTACTCGTGGGTTTCACCGAAGTGGTAAACGTCAAAGACCTGCATCACTTCGGGCTTTCCTCCCACATTAAGCTGACACGCCGCGATATAAGTGGACTACTGTTAAAAGCGGCGTTTAACCCAACTCACTCACTACAGTCAAATACTACTATGACTATATATTATATATAATCTACATGCGTGACATGCCATGTCACACCATGCTACGGTCTGTCATGTCTTATTTGAATTTAACATTGCTTGAAATCGACAATTATACGTAATTATACTGAACTAGATGAACGAACATTAAACCCAACCACCACTTCGGATATGACTTTTTGCCCGATTGTTCGCTACACCCTTACACTTGTTTGTCTTGGTCAAGACTCCATGACGTGAATGTGTCTATTTCTAGATCTATTCAACGGGGAGTATCTCATAAATATCGACAAGCGTCAGCATTGTTAATTGGAAGCTTTTCGTTTGCGTTCAACTTGATTCAAAAGGTGCCCACTGATAATGCAAGAATCAGCTATACATTATCTAATGTTCTTGATCGATGCAAGATACGACTACAGATTGGATGTAAAGTTTCGAAGAGGAGATTAAAAAACTAAAATTATTGTCGTAGTATTTTAATGCGAATATGTCAACATACGAATCACGTGGAAGACTTTGATGCCGAGTGTCTGCCTTCGGTTACTTTTTATTATTTATATTTTCTTCAGGAATACATCTTGAAGAATTAAGTTTCAAAAGCAACAGCGATGCGAGAAATCAATAGAGAAATATAATTTTATTCCGTAATACCCCATACTGTTATTTACTGTTTTCATTATTATTTCTGACATTTGTTTATTATTTCTGACATGTGAAAAGTGACAAGAAACATATCTCAGCAGATCGTTATAGTGTTAATAAAGCGACGAAACCCTTTCCAAATCCAGTAGACATCTCTGAATCTCTCGATTGTACGATCCCGACTATATGCACAATTATTTATTGTGGAAAAAATGTACAACATATAATACAGGTGAACATTGCTTGATTTACCATAGTAACATGAATACTTTGTAAGGCAACTGTACATGGAACTGTAGTACACGCACCTACTCAAGGACTCCAGGTGCCTTCACTTACGTTGTGGAGAGTGGTTATAAATGTATCAGATATCAGATTCTCTAACCACTTTAGTTAAACGCTCACATTAACAATCACACGATGCGGAAATACAGCAATGAATTAGTGGTTAAGTTAAGGTTTACATCCTATCGGCAATGAAGGCGAGACCAAAATATTCATCATTAAATTCCAATTAACAAAACAATAAACACAGTTTCAGTTTAAAATAAACAAGTTCAAAACTAAAACACATGATTGTTATTGTATAGATTACATCTGATCCTGCACAATTCACCTGCAGGAGTAATGCCATTATTTTGGTCACAACTGTAGTTGTATGTAAAGACAACCAACATTAAAATTCAAATAACGAACAACGCACCAAACCATAGATGACTTTGATCTACGTGCCACTGTCACATATAACAATGACCGGCCCAGCGTCATATTAAAAGTGTAGTAAATGTATCACTTACCTAAATATGAAGGTACGTGTGGTGTGTCAATATGATCTGGTAAAGACTGTCCGATCTCAATGGACATGTGGTTACTCTGCAATCAGCGAATCAGCTCACAGCGTAGAACTAAGCCTTCAACTAAACAACCAGGTGGCGCCAATAACTGCGGACTTGGCAAAGTAATTGTTTGACTTAGCCATGGCTTACTACAGTATCAGCCTGAAAAGTGACCATCGCAGCAGAAGAACCGTCGACGTTCGGGGGACCAGTTCCATGCACTACTAAGCCTCCTTGAATGCAGAATCGACAAACACAACTCCAGAGAGTGACAGTCGTCACGGGCATGGTCAACAACGGTCGCAAAGCATACCATGTTCCTTACATAGTTCCACTGAGCTTCTTTGGGTGATAACGTGTAGCGGAATATGCCATAAATTGATCATGTCTCACACCATTATGCGAATACTAAACGCTCATTCCCAAAGGTGGTATCAATTATATTGATCTTTCATTTCACTGGCAATCCTGTATTTCCCAAAGGAAATCGAACTGACGGTCGCCAAGTTGTGAAAAACTAAGTGCCAACATTATCTTATCTCTTAGCAGTAATATGATCCTGATGACGCATTTTATCAGATTCTGAAAAAGTATTGACACGGTACTCCAGAATCTAACCAAATGATATAATTAATCAACCACACTATAATTGTCCATGATATATGATATCCACATGTCATCTTAAGTCATACAGACAACAGTGAGATGAGGACATCCCACGGGTTGTATCCAAAACTGACTGTTAGCATTGGCTTTTCCAATGAACGGAAATCCGAACTCACCATGTTAAAAAAAACATTATTGACACTGACAGAGCACTTCCGAAGCCTGTCTGAAATCATCCTTATGTATATCAGTACTGCTTAAATGTTGCTCTTTGCTTTCTTTAGCCAACCAAGTAATCTCTAAAAGGTGTAACATGCACTTTTGAGTCATTAGCCATGTTCAGGAAGCATGTATGTCATTGGCTTTGAGGCTATAGCTGCATTATTGTGAACCATCACCCCCATTAACGGGAGGCTTCTCCCTACGCTCGTCACCATACAGATTTGGCGGAGATAACGCTGACGTTGAAGGTTTAACTCACACAAGCACTTGGAAGTGAGTGAAGGTTGGGTTTAACGCCGCTTTGACTTGTTTGTTTGTTTGTTGTTGAACGCCGCACTCAGCAATATTCCAGGTATGTGACGGCGATGTGTAAATAATCGAGTCTGGACAAGACAATTAAGTGATTGACATCATTAGCATCGATCCACGCCATTGGGATACAATGACATGCATAGTCGGTTTTTTTAAGGCAAGTATGTGTTGCGGAAGATCTTCCCCGGATCTTCACGGGTCTAAAGCCAATAGTGTAGTTATATCACGGTGATCAAGTGATGTGTGTTTTACTATGTGTGTTTTACTCGTTCATCAACCTTGTGAAAACTACACGCACATATATCGTGCTGACAAACATGTAGCAATCTGTAGCAAAAACATTTTTGGGTGTATACATGTTCTCATTACCCCCTGTTTGTACCTAAAATAATTTGTTTGAAAAACACATCTTATTACGCATATACGGAAGCGTAGTGGGGCCACGGTGAATCTTGTAGGACTTACTATCTCCTACGTAGGACTAATTATCTCTTACGTAGGACTTAGTATGGCCTAGAACCACTATCTCCTACGTAGGACTTAGTATCTCCTACGTAGGAGATAGTAAGTCCTGCGTAGGAGATAGTAAGTCCTACGTAGGTGATACTAAGTCATACGTAAAAGATACTAAGTCCTACGTAGGAGATAATAAGTCCTACGTAGGAGATACTTAGACAAAAGAAATTCACCGTTGCCATATTACGCTTCCGTATGCATAAAAGTGTGAAATTTATTTTTTTAGAAACAACTAAATGGAATTGCCATTATTTCCGTATGTATAACTCAGGGGAAAAGAGAAAAACATATAATAATTATTTTTCATCACTATCATTATATTTATATTTCAAATGGTATAGTAGCATTTAACATACGTTGACATGGATACATGCTAGGTTGAAGTTGAACTACGTACTGTGCTGATGTGGGGATGTTCGGGTGAGGAATTGGTTGCTATGTTTAACTGCTTCTCAGCCATGTTGTAAATATCTTTGGGGTTCCGAAGGGACCCAAGGGGGCACGAATGGCCCAGTCGTCTGAGGCGCCGTGATTTGCTATACAGAGTTGCGTCCCTTGGGCACACCAGAAACCTATGATTGTGGGTTCGAATCCTGGTCCGTCCCAATTATGTTTATAGGTTTGTCAGCACTATAACCGTGCCTGTGGGTTTCACCGTAGTGATAAACGTTTGAGACCTGCATCACTTCGGGCTTTTCGAAGCTGACACGCGGCGATATAACTGGACAACTGTTAAAGGCTTACTCACTCCCAAGGGACCCTGCATCAGCTACCTACTTTTGTACGCATTGCCGTTCCATCGTCTGAGACGTTACTGTGCTTGTAGCATGACCAGAAGACCAGCAATGAGTCCGAGGACAGTAGTTCCGGATTACTTGTATAGACATTCAAGGGCCCACACTACAATCAATGTATCACTAAAGACTTATCTCATTAGATGTGTCTATGACCCTGTGTGAGGCGCTATGAGCGACTACGTAGACGGAAATGGCGCTGAAGAAATGGACTTTTTTATTATTATTATTATCACCGGGTTTGATACTCGCGTAAACTTTACTGCATTTCTGTCCATTACTGAAGAGATAACAAACTGGATAGGACATGCCCGTCGCAGAATAGGCAACAGGATGCGACCGAGCTTCGACTGGATCTCAATACCATAGGAAGGGTTAGTTAAGGTATTCGAGAATGGCTTTGCCTATCATGTGACCTGAGATAGCCGTTTTTTTTATTACATATCAGACCATGTCTTTGTCCACATGTGGTTTCTGTCGTGATCGGATGATTCATGACCTGTCTGTGACTGGTGTCACCATCGATCGATTCCTTGCCTTGTCTCTTATTTTCCCAACTTTCTGTCTCCAATATTTCTAAATTCAGTAACATTACAGAAAGGCACATCATCGAAACTATCGATAGTCACTATGATGGACCTCCATTTGTAAGCATTTTCTAAGGAATGCATTTTTACCGTATGACACTGATACAGCTGGTCGTAAGTAGCGACTTATTAATGGATCGCGTGGTCAGGTTCAATGAACTGGTTAATGGCATGTTAACGTACCCCAACGGCGTCAAACATGGCTCATTTGATCAATCACTGGTTTGTCCAGACTCGATCTATACACGCACATGTATATGCTAAACAGTTAAGAAAGGATGCCAGCATACGGAGTTTACTCGCGTGAATTTGAACATCCTTTTTCTTCAGGGAATCATCAGGTTAATTGGTTGGTTGGTTTGTTGTTTAACGCCGCACTCAGCAATATTCCAGCTATATGACGGCGGTCTGTAAATAATCGAGTCTGGACCAGACAATCCAGTGATTAATGTCATGAGCATCGATCCACGCCATTGGGATCGATGACATTCATCAACCAAGTCAGCGAGCCTGACCACCCGATCCCGTTAGTCGCCTTTTACGACAAGCATAATCACCTTTTACGGCAAGCATCGGTTGCTGAAGACCTATTCTACCCCGGAATCTTCACGGGTCCGAATCATCAGGTTGTGATTATAGTCTGAAATATCGTGGATGTATTGAACATTACAGGTCCTCTTGGACTGGATCGACTGGACCTGATACATGCGTACATTACAACACTAGCGATTCTGACATGCAGAATATTACCCGCTCAAATCATTCTCCGTCCTAAATACAAGTCATGCATCTGACATTGTAACTTAAATCTCCCATTGCACGTCTGTATGACATGGTGTCATGGCATGAGGTTACGGCATGGTATTATGGCATGCTGGTATGGCATGCTGGTATGGCATGCTGGTATGGTATGGTATAAAACAAGGCGGTATTGCGTGGTGGTAGGGCGTAGTGTTATGACATGGTGTTATGGGCGTGGTAGTATCTCGTGGTCTCATGACGTGGTGTTATGGCTTGGTGCTATGGGGTAATGTTATAGCGTGTTTTGGTATGATGTTATCGCATGGTGTTATGCATGGCAGAATGGCGGGGTTTTGTGGCGTGGTGTTATGACATGGTGTCATGGCATGAGGTTATAATTACGGCATGCTGGTATGGCATGCTGGTATGGTATGGTATGGTATGGTATAAAACAAGGCGGTATTGCGTGGTGGTAGGGCGTAGTGTTATGACATGGTGTTATGGGCGTGGTAGTATCTCGTGGTCTCATGGCGTGGTGTTATGGCTTGGTGCTATGGGGTAATGTTATAGCGTGTTATGGTATGATGTTATCGCATGGTGTTATGCATGGCAGAATGGCGGGGTTTTGTGGCGTGGTGTTATGACATGGTGTTATGGCATGGTGTTATGGCATGATGTTGTAGCATGCATCAGTCATCGCAGCAAACTGTTTTCATACAGCACAAATAATGCTATTTTTGTAATTATTATTTTGCAGCCATTCAATTTCCTTCCGTCTGCTCTGATTCGTCTCCAAAAGAAAAAAAAATAATAATGAGAATCTGACATGATCCCGGGAGGACGGCAAGAATCTAAATAGAACTAATTTGGTTGTTTTTTTGTTCTTTACACTACTTTGTATTTGCAGATTCTGTGGATTCCGTGATGGGAAGGTTTGGTGATATGAAGCTACATAGGATAATTGAGAGCCCAAACCTAATCAGAGGTTGCCGTTATGTTTCTTATAAGAGACGTATATTTAGATATGCATTTACTGACATACTACTTAACCCCCGTTGAGAGGGGAAATGAGACTTGATTAATGTTGACCAAGTGAAGGAGTTGTAGTGAAATAATCAGCAGACTATTTCCATAATTTGTTCACACAATAAATCTATCATTTAAAGAAGAATATGTTATGATTGACATCTCACAGTGTGATTCCATTCTATGGTTATTTTTGCTTCAGCAACATACAAATGTTGCTTATTTATAAAACTGCTTTTTCACTAGCTGAGGAAACTAATGTGTTTTGGATTCAATGCTGTGAGAACGTTCCTTCAGTTTACTAATGGCGTGTCAACTTCAGGTTGGAGATAATTATAAGCCCGATTTGTGCATCTTGTAGAAACCCACAAGCTCTAGTGAACATACGTGTTTTTCACATAGCACTCAATGACACATTTTGCTCACAACTAAGCCTTCTTCAATGAAGGTTTCACCATCAAAGTCCTTGTTAAGTCATTTAAGAATGTTATGCAAGACATTCAGAAGATTTAACTGAATATGA